TAGTAATGTTACCAAGGTTTTTTTTTTTTAAGTCCGCATGAAATTGTTCCTGGGTATGACTATCTTATTAAAGAGGTCCTTTTCATACTCCAATAACAAAACCCCCTTGAATGGGGTCTACCAGACTCACCATACCATATTCTGCTCCAGATATGTCATATTATAGTCGGTTTCCTGTTTAATTTTAAATATTATTTTAAGTCAAACATAGAGCAAACCTGACATAAATTCAAAACAGTCAGGAAGACCTGAACTCTGACTACAATACATGGCAACATGGAAAGAAAATTGGCACTGAAGTTGGAAGCCCTGGGTTCAAATCCCATCTCTGATGCTATTAATGAGATGTTTATCCTTTGACGAGTCACTTGGCCTCATCATAAAATCAGAAGTCTGGACTGGATGTCCCTTCCATAAGCCTTTGAACCTCCCCTCCATGTGACTGAGCAAATCATGAAAGCTCTCTCAGCCTCCTTTTTCCCCATCTGTAAAGCTCAGCTATTAAAATGTTGCTCTTCAAATGAATTATGTGTGGAGTCTTTTGGAAATCTTAAAGTGCTACATAAATGTGAGCTATCATTAGAAATAATTTTTTAATTATCCACTGATTTTTTAAAGAGTAAATCTCTTTTTTTTTTGTTAGAACAGATTAACTTCTTGGATTCCTTATCATGACCTCAAACTCCACATGTGCAAAGCTGAATTCATCTCCCTGTAGGAGCCGGCTTGGCTGACGTACCTATTTACAGTAATTCTCCTTTTCCTCTGGCATGAAGAAAGGAGGCATGTATGTCATTATCCTCACTTTATTCCCCTTTTCCCACAAATTATATATTCCTGTGCCTACAAAGGTATCATCATGTTGTCAAAACCAGGCTAATCTAAATGACTCTTCAGTAACTCTTAAGTTAATGCCCTCCATCAGTAACTCTGTTTTACAGCCAAATACTTTGATCTACACTGCAAGAAAAGTCTAGATCTAACAGATACCCTGACCTCTCCCAGATACTATACTTTTCTGTTTGGTGATGCATATAAGGCACTCCAATCATTTAAGGACTGGGAGTGACTCAAAAAAGGTAATGTTCCCCAACTTGGCCAACTGTCTTTTAATAAAACTTCGAGCAACTTTGCCTGAGGGGGAAAAAGTATTTTAATGCCATCTCTCTGACAAAATTAATTTCCTCTTTTTCATGTTCAGTCACTGTCACGCCCAACTCTTCCTGACCTCATGGATCATAACACATCAAGCCCTTCTATTCTCCACTATCTCTCAAAGTCTGTCCATGTTCGTTGTTTCTATGACACTATCCATATCATTCTCTGCCATCACCTTTTCTTTTTGCCTTCAATCTTTCCCAATATCAGGGTCTTTTACAATGAGTCCCATCTTCCCATTATGTGGCCAAAGTATTTAAGTTTCAGCTTTAGTATCTGACCTCCCAGTGAACCAATTTCTTTAATTATTGACTGATTTGATTTCCTTGCTGTCTAAAGGACTCTCAAAAGTCTACTCCAGCACCACAATTCAAAACCATCAATTCTGTGGTGCTCAGCTTTACTTATAATCCAATTCTCACAGCCACATATTGGTACCAGAAAAACCATAGCTTTGATTTTATGGACTTTTGTTGGCAAGGTGACAGCTCTGCCTTTTATTATGCTCTCCAGATTTGCCACAGCTTCCCTTCCAAGGAGTGTCTTTTAATTTCATGGCTGCAATCATCATCTGCAAGGATCTTCAAACCCAAGAATATAAAATCTGACACCGCTTCCATTTTTTCTCCTTCTATTTGTCATAAAGTGATGGGACCAGTTGCCAAGATCTTTAGTTTTCTGATGTCAAGTTTTAAGCCAGTTTTTACACTCTCCTCCTCTTTCACCTTTATCTAGAGGTTTCTTAATTCTTCTTCACTTCCTTCAATCAGAGTGGTATCATTTGTATATCTGAGACTGTTGATATTTCACCCAACAACCTAAATTCTGGCTTTTGATTTGTCGAGCCTGGTATTTCTTATGATGTACTACTCCACATATAAGTTTAAACAAATAATGCGACAATATACAGACTTGTCACACTCCTTTTCCAATCTTAAACCAATCAGTTGTTCCGTGGTCAGTTGTAACTGTTGCTTCTTGCTTTTACACAGGTTCCTCAGGATACATGATCTGGTACTCCCATCTCTTTGAGAAATTGCCACATCTTGTCGTGATCCACTTTAGCTCACAGTTTCACTGAGCTAAGCAAGTCCCTCCACCATAACAAGGCAGTGATCCAGAAGGGAATTCCCCTTTTTCAACTGCATAATTCTTTCAGTCTCTCATGTTATTAAGCTAGGAAATACTTTCTTGACCTTTCCTCTTCCCTCATCCCTATAACCCGATATTAAGTCCTGTCATTTCTTCCTTGACAATTTCTATCAGATTCATCCCTCTTCTCTCCATTCTTACACAAACCACCACTCTAAGTTCCTACCATAGCTACCCACTTGACTCCTCCATCTCTAGGCTCTCCCTCCTTTATTTTTTTAGGGTCATAAGCCAGCATTTATTATTTAAGTTCAAGAATGGGTTATGAAGGCTGTGGGGGACACATTTAGAACAAAGAATCAAAGATCAAACCCTAGAGGAGGGAGAGGAGGGAGGAGACAGAGACCAGAGTCTCTCATCTCTGTCTGCTCTAGATGGGGTTGATTCTGACTTCTGAGCCTTGGTCCAGGGCACACAATGAAGCACACAATAAGATGAGCTTCCAGGGGCTACAGGTTTAGGAAAACATCAAGGGGTGGCCAAAGTTACACATCCATCCTGAGGTAGGGTCTAGGGTTCTCCTTGAATCAGAAGCATCACTTTCTTTGAGGAACACATAGAAGTTTGATAAGTTCCATCCCATTTATTTCAACTCTTATGATTAAAGTCTTTGTGCTAAAGAGTTCTTTCATTGCCTAATTTCTTGTACTTAGCTTCTAGTTCTTTGAATATGCTTCCAACTTATAGGCTGCCTGCTCCAAGCCACTACTTGCTCCTCAGTTAAAGTGATCTGATCCAGATAAGGCTGAAGTGCTACATATTTCTGATTTAAGTCCTTTAGGTTTCTACTTATGTTTACTGCAATAGCTTTCATTTCTAGATACTTCAAGATAGTTAGTTTGTTCACATATACAGAAGTTTATAGTCTTCACTCATGGCTATCAGCACACCAGCTGGGTACGTGGCCATTTTGGAGAATATCCTGGCACAGCCCCATGATGTCTACCTTGGTGGACTCCATGGTCTCCTCTACTATTTCCACCACTGCACTGTCTAGGCCAGGGAAAGGTGGAAGGAAAAATGATGGAGAGAAGGAAAGGGAAAGGGATGATTAAGAAGAGGAGAAGGAAAAGGAGCTGAGAAGGGAAGGGGGAAAAAAGGGAAGGGTGAAGAGTCTGAAATCCCTCCCCTCTTTAAATGAAAGCTGCATACAGCTGCAAACCAATGCTCCTAAAACATTACTTTTATCCTGTCACTCCCCTGCCTGGGAAATTACAGTGGCTCCCTATCAACTACTGAATCATAGTCACAGAATTGTGATAGGGACCCCAGCCATCCAATCCCCTCATTTCATAGACACAGATACTGAGGCCTAAGCAGTCCAAATTCCACTATTTAACTTTTGAGGTCCTCCATTACCTGGGCTTCACCTTTACTATCTAATTATATTTGCCTAACACACACCTCCCACTTGTCACTTTCTAAACCCTACATATTCATTCCTACTGATTTATTTTGTCTGGTATCCTCCCCCCTCTTCTAGGCTGATCTAAATCCTGCTCTATACAGATCAAGTTCAAACCCTTCTCCCAGGAGACCACCTTTTTATTTCAGTTTTTCTTCAAAAGTTCATGATAATGCTACTATAGAAGAAATTTTGGGATGCAGATCTAGGATTTTACTGGTGTAGGAAAAACCCAGCAAGGAACCTCCCTCTATTCCCGCCCAAATTAATCCTTTTTCTGAACTACTACTGGGCTCAATTGCTAATATAGTTTAGTATTTAATTTTTGCTCAAATTATTTCATGCTTTGCCTCTCCAGTTAGAAAGTAATCTCAGAAACCATTTCTTACCCCTTTTCTTATATACTCTACTACACAAAGCCCAATACTTAATATAAAATAGCTACTTCTAAACTTATTCACAGTTATGGAATTTTAAAATAAAATGCAGACTATCCAATCCAACTGAGACCCAAAGAGATTAAGCACTTTGCCAAGATCTTAAAGAGAATAATAACCAATTACTGGAGTTTCAAGTAATACTAGTCAGTCAGTCAATAACCATTGATTAATCACATACTATGTGTCAGTCATTGTACTATGCTCCAGGGGATACAAAGAAAGTCAAAAGACAGTCTATATAGAGGATAAATAGGAAATAATCAACAGAAGGAAGGCACAAGCATTAAAAAAGAGCAAAAAAGCCTTCCTGGAGAAGGTAAGATTTAAGCTGGGACATGAAGGAGGCCAGGGGAGCCAGGAGGCAGAGGTGAGGAGAAAGCGCACTCCAGGCACGGGTAACTATACCATTCACATTTCTAAGCACTTTAAGGTTTTAAAGTGCTGCTTAGTACATATAAACTACGACTTACATAATATTAACCAATAAGTCCCATGACTCAAAGAAAAGATTTATATACTGATATCCAGCAACTAATGTTCATGATATCAACTGCACTGATGGGTTGCTAGTAAATAATGCTAAGAATGGCTTGCCAAATGGGAGAGAAAGAATTAGAGAGAAGGTAGAGAAAGTGATTCTGCAATGGTAATAGCTAAAACAGGTATATTATTTTCTTCTTCAATGAACTAAAAATCAATCCGTCTCCCCACATTAAAACTTCTACAAAGAAGAATTTTAATCACTTTAATTTAAGCTTGGTAGAGGGCTAAGACAGAGATTCAACTGCTCAATATAAGTACAACAATTTTGTATAGTGCTAAGTTAATATTATTAGGGATACATATTACATGAGAACAAACAAATGGCTTTATTTTTTCTTCAAAAGTTCAGTATTTTATAAAATGTCAGATGTGGTCAAAAAATTATCATTTGAATTCCAAATGTAGAACCTGGAAAAATTCTAAATTCCAGAATTTTTTCTGAATTGCTTCAATAGCTTTATCACAATCCCGCATGTTCCCACTTCACCAATTTCACTACATGCAATCCAACCTAGTCAAAATGTCGAGAGCAAGAGCATTAACCCTTCTTAAGAGAAATACATGCTATTTCACTTTGAACATTACCACGGCAACTTTCTCAATTTCCTCATGCTTGCTTCTTCTTAAACAAAAAAAAGACAAATCACTAATTACCGACTTAATAGGCATACACCTACAATATGCCATTCTACAAAATAATTTCACCTATTTTTTTTAGCAAGCAGAAGAAACCAGAAATGACTTAAAATAATGAAAAACTAGAGCATCCTTCCTGTTGTACTATTGTTTCTGGAATAATTACTGACAATCATCATCACTTTAGAAATCAAATAAAGCTAAATACCTATATTTTAGAGAATACAGACAATGGGAAGATTCAGTTAACTCATGGGAACAAACCAAGGAAAAAAAGAATTGTACTTTTGCCATGTCTCTGCAATGTAAACACACAGGTTCTTCTAATTTTATACATTAGCATGTTTGGTAAACTATTTTATTTAAAACAAAAAAAAATTCAGAATATTTAGTATACTCTCACTGATGTCTACATAGACATAAAATGCTGATGAACAGAGCACACAAGATTTACCACTCTGCATCTCCAATGGCTTTGGCAAACACATAGTCTTTCCCTCCAAAGCACATGACACCATCTTTCAAGTAAAATTTCCATTTGTTTTTGCTTCGATGAATCTGGAAGGGAAAAAGAAACAGTATTAAAATTACACAAAATTATCCACGAAACAGAAAAATTTTACAAGTTAAATAAATTTTTAAAGAGTGTTCCTTTGCTACATAAAGTACTCATTACAAATAATCATTAATAAAAAGGAATGTGTGTCACACAGGAAGAATCTACCCCCACACGTTACATAATTTTTCAACTCAAAAAGAATTTATTTAGCATTTAACACACACTAGCCCAAAACGAAGCCCCCAGGAAAAACACACTAATCCCTAGAGAAAAGGTTAGTAGCCTAGCCCCTTTAGTAAAGCAATAGTTAGATCTCACTTCCAAAGACAAAGACTACACCCCAGAGGAGAGAGTCAACAAAGAAGACTGGGAAGGAGCAGACAGATATGAGAACCAGGACAGAGTGATGTCACAAAAACCTAAAAAGAGGAGGATATCAAGAAGGTAGTAATCAGTAGTGTCAAAGGCTGCAGAGAGGTCAAGGATGAGGACTGAGAAAAGACCACTGAATTTGGCAGTTAAGACATCACTGATAACTTTAGAGAGAGCAACTTCAGTGGAACCATGAGGCCAGAAGCCAAAATGCAGAGTTTAAAAGAACAATTGTAGATGGCTTTCTGAAGGAGTTTAGCCACCAAAAGAGAAATGAGATATAGGCTGATCGCTAGCAGAGATGGATGGATAAAAGTTTTTGAGAATGGAGGAAACATGGGCATGTTTGTAGACAGTAAGAAAATAGCCAGGAGACAGGAAGAGACTGAAGATAAGAGAATGGGGATAATAGAGGGGGCAATCTGTTGGGAAAGATAGGATTGAAGGGAATCACTTGTGCATATAGAAATGATGACCTTGGCAAGAAGAACCACCTCTTCACGCAAGATAAGAGTGAAGGAAAAGAGTAGCAAGAGGCATCTGGGCAATACGAAATGAGGAGGGGAACAAAAGGAGCTCTTGGTGAATGGCCTCAATCTTTCTTGTAATATGAGGCAAAGTTCTCAATTGAGGGGGAACAGGGAGAGAAAGCTATGGAGGGTTGGGGGTGAGATGAAAAGGTATGGAAGATCTGCTGTGATGAGTGGAAGAATGAGTTAAATAGGTAGGTATAAAAGGCAGCAGTGAGGCCCCAGGTGACATTACAGAACATACATCTACAGCAGACTCAGTCAACACACTTTCATGATTTTCCCCAGCTTCATTTAGCAGTATATGTATAACAGCAAAGGCAGCTGATGGTTCAAGACCAAGTCTTGGTAGGGCAAGATTGGAGGTATAATAAAGGGGCAAGGGACTCAAGAGAAGGGGACACTGTTGAGTTGGAGTCCCAACTATAATACAGACAAAGCACAAAAAGTACAAAAGTCCTCTAGTATGAGAACACAACAGTTATTTTTAAAAAAAAAACTTTGCTATTTACCAATACTTAATCATTCTCCCAAGTCCCCAAAGGTGAAATCTAGTAATAATCTATAGACCTCTTTCTCTACTACTCCAGGCCCTCACCACCTCATGCCTGGATTATCTTTCTCCTGACTTCAAGGCTACCCCTTGAAATTTATCCTACATACTACTAATCTTTCTGAAACATACCTTCATAATACCACTTTGCTGCTCAAGAACATAGATATTAATTCCCTACTGCCTATCAGATCAAATTCATTAGCCTGATGTTCAACGCCCTAACTATCCAAGTATTTACTAGCATATCCAGAAGTATACTCTTTCAGAAAGGTCTGTCCTAATCATCCTTTAATACATTCTCACCTCTATACCTCTGTTCATGCCATTACCATGCCCTAACCCTCCTCCCCAATACCATAACCTCATTTTCTTTCTCCTTTTTTTGGAGGATGGGGGGAAAGAGACAATCGGGGTTAAGTGACTTACCCAGGGTCACACAGCTAGTGAGTATCTGAGGACAGATTTGAACTGAGGTCCTCCTGACTTCAGGGCTGGTGCTGTAAGCACTGTGCCACCTAACTGCCCTTCCATAACTTCCCTTTTTATTCAGATCCTTTAAAATCCAACTCAAGTTCCATTTCCTCCATTAAGGACTCCCTAGTAAGTACAGGCAATGAAGATCTAAGACAATGTGAAAGTCTATAGTGAAATACACAATCAGTTCTGCTATAATGAGATGGTGTTCCCAAAAATTACCCCACCATGCAAAACCATTCAATAAAAACCAAAGAGCTTATGGGGAAAGTTAGAGGCATAAGGCTCAAAAACTTCATCAGTAATACATTTTTTAAAAATAGGAACTTGATTAAAAAAATAGCAATTTCACACATTAAGAAATACTTAAATACTACAATAAATAGTGGTCCCATGAGCAGCCTCAGGTTGCTGCTGGGCCTGAGGCCATGGAGGCAGGGGATGGGGTGGGGTGGCCCTCTTCTGCCCACATCTCCTACTGCACCAAAAGATATACAATTAATATGCCCCTTTACCTTGAAAAGGATCTAAAGTTTGCTTGTGGAAATAGGTGTCAGAAGGTTGCAGCCTGTGAGTGACTGTGAAGGAGTGCAGTTTTCTGCATTCTTGCTGTTTCTTACAGGAGAAATTGGAAAGAGGCAAAGTGGAGAATCATTTATGCTCAGATGTTCCCTAATATATCAACCAATTTGAACAAAACTGAATTTTCCAAACATGCAATACAGCAGAACTACCTGGACTAGATTCCTGTCACGACACTACAATATGACTGAGTAAAACCTGGTATGACCTAAGTTTCCCTGTTCTAGGGGGTTTATTAGGACAGACCAGAAGGATCTCATACTACCATTCTACTTATCACATTGTCCTGTGGCCTGGACTCAGGACCATTTATGAATGAAAGAAAATGCTGACCAGATTAGGCCCCACCATGGGTGCAGAACTGTCTCTTTCTTTGTGGAAGATTTCTTAAAGAAACATTTTCCTCCTTGAATCAGCTCAACAGGGCTCCAGAGGGAGAAGGGTAAGCCCAGATGCAGCAGAGGAAAGATAGAAGACAGCACATTAACAAGAAGAGGAAAGCACCAGGAACGGGTTTGCTGACCATTACTCTGACCTTCTTCTGTACCTTGGATACAATCCTTTGGTTTTCATGGGCCCTAGCATCTTAAAATTAACTAAACCTAAATAGGAATGCAATATCATTTTAATATAAATTTCAGAAGATATTATAAGAGACTTATAAGTCTTATAAGAGACTTCAAGTCAGTGATTCTCTCCTCCCTCCAAACTCTGCCACTACCAGTCAAGAGCTAATGACAGTGAGCATCAACTATCCAGTACTACATTTTCTGATATTGCTAAGTGTTAGTTATCTCAGCTGTCAAGAGGGAAGACAATACTCGGACTTGGGATAGGAGGGGAGATCTCTTATCTAAATACTTTGTTTTAAAATAAATACATCATTTTGTTTATTTAAGGGGCTGCTGTGATGGCAATGTATGCTAGTGGTGTACACAACATTCAAGGCCCTCAAGGCCTGATATTGTATCTGTTCCTCTCCATGAAGTCCACCAAGCCATTGTAGAATCTTTGCCACCTGCATCTAGCCTACCCTTTCCCACATACTCCTGCCCAATCTATTCTCCAGACCTAAGAGGTCCTCCTTCTGCCCTCTTCACCCGCTGAATTCTTATCCATCCTTTAAATTCTAATTCAAATGATAATTTTCTTCATGAAACTTTCCCTAATTCTCTTCCCTCTTCTAGTCCTCCAGACCTAGTGCAGAACTTTGTTTTGTGACTCTTCTTCACTTAGGTAACAGTGAGCCTTACGATTAATATTTTATTTCCCTACAGCTTCATAAGCACCATGAAAGGAGGGCCAAGAACCCTTCAGAACCTACAGTCAAGATTAATGTTTTATATATCCCATAACATTAAGGCATAGTTCATTCATGAATGACCTTTAGCTTTTTCAAATGCTTGTTGAATTGAATTTTATGGCTCTCAGTTAAGTTCAGAGAAATGAGAGAAATCACACGTCCTGAGATTCTGAAAAGGAAGGCAATTCAAAAGGGACAGGAAACTCTCAAAAATGAACCTGGGAGTTGTTTTAACTATAATGAGGAAAATAAGAGAACTGACAAAAGAAGATTTCTATTCTAATTAGCTCGGACAATGGTGACCGACAACAGAGAGGAAGCCGAGTTGTTCAATTATAATTTTGTCTTATCCAAGCTTTTTATTTCTCCCTGTGCCACACGTTCCACTGTACACAGTGTAGATGCTTAATAAACATCTGCTCCATTGAATTATTCTTCCTGACCACCCACAGCATTGGTCTATATGAGGTATTTTTAGCACTTAATTCTTTTTAAATTGAGTAATTTGTCACGTACTGTTTGGGATTTTTCTCTAATTGCTGCATGAGTTTCAGTCTCAACTCTTTTATGTTCCAAAACTTAAAGTATCTAGTACCAGGCTCAGAGGAAGCCTTCAACATATACTTATTCTAATAGCCTTTTTCAAGGATAATCTAAGTTAAATGCTAAGCAGACACAAATACTAGTTTTTCCATCACAGTTAATGTGACTTTTGGATACATCAACTTACATTAATAAACCCAAGGGTGTGGAGATGCATACTGTACCTTGTCATATTGACAGACTATTACATTATCCGTGTCAAACAGGTCTGGCACATCCTGCTCACTAACATCATCCCCAGAATTTAAAGGGTCCTAAAGATTAAAGATGACCATAGTAAATAATTTTTACTACATACAACATTTTGTTGAGAGAGAGAGAGAGAGAGAGAGAGAGAGAGAGAGAGAGAGAGAGAGAGAGAGAGAGAAGCCTACTTACTGCTTTAAAATGCTTGCCAACTTTACAATCCCCATCCTGTCTTCCTTAACCTACTCCTGACACCCTCTATATCTAAGCAAGAAGATGAGTATTTTTTAATGTTGTTATAACATTTTCAATTGTACTTTAGAAATTTAAAAACAAAATCGACCAGCCTACCCTGCAAAAAAAAAAATCCTCTTTCCCGATCCCCACCTCAAAAAAAGAGAGAAAGAAAGAGGTTATTCTTCCTAATAACCATAGGGGATTAAACAGCAAAGGCACTACCATTTTACATTTAATAAAACAAGCCATATCACTGAAGGAATCATCACCTCCTCTACAATGTCTATTTGGGGCTCTTCATTATCACTGCTATTGGTGGTTGAATCTTCATTTGAGATGCTATCACCTTCTTCTTCAAGAACTTTCAGATCTTCTGCATCAATAATACCAAGAAATTCATTCTCATCCACATCTCTTGTACTCCCTATTTCTTCATTTGAAGATGTATCTCCAGTTCCATCTATTTGGATAATTTCTTTAATGTCATCAATTGTTTGTATACTCAAATCCATTTGTGCACTGGATTCCTATAAACAAAACCATATACAGGATGTGCAATATAGTTATTTGTCCAAAAAATTAGTAGTCAGAGGATATGAACAAGGCCAACTATAATAAACTCAATAATCATATAAAAAATCTTCTAATAGTAAGAGAAATTAATGTTGAAACAACTGAAGTTTCACCTCACATCCAGCAAAATGACACAGGTGACAAAAGATGAGATCAGTGTTAGAAGAACTGTGGTAAGGCAGGCATGCTAACAAAGTTGGTGAACAATAAATTGGCTCAAACACTCCGGAAAACAATTTGAAATTATTTGAGAAACATAACAGAACTATTCATACCCCTTAACCCAGAGCAGACAGGGTAAAAGACAGCAAGAATGGTTTTGCATAAGCCAAAATATTCATAGCAATATTTTTTGTGTAAGCAAAGAACTGAAAAAAAGGATATCTGTTTTGGGGAAAGGGACTAACCAAGATGGCTACATCAATGTAATGAAATATCACTGCGCCATATGAAATAACAAATATGAAGAATTCAAAGTTTGTATGAACTAAAACCATAGGGAATAAACAGAAAGATTATAGACACACACACACACACACACACACACACACACACACACAGAGACACACACACACACACACACACACACAGAGACATACACACACACACACACAGAGACATACACACACACACACACAGACATACACACACACACACACCAGACACACACACACACACAGACACACACACACACACAGACACACACACACACACAGACACACACACACACACACATATACACACACACACACACATACACACACACACACACACAACACACACACACAACACACACACAGAGACAACAGCTACATTCAAATTTAATGGAAAAGAAATCTAGAAGAGGGTGCAGTAAGTAGTAAGTTGCTCTCACCCTCCCTTATTGCCCTCTAAGAGCCCAGAAAATATCACCCCAGGAAAACCTCTGGAACAGCTGAGCCTGCAGAAAGATGGAGTGCAGCAGTCCTGTTAACCCAGGAAGCTTGGTGATTAATGGGAAAGACCCCTCTCGCTCTGGGGGAGGGGGAGCAGTACAGGACAAGAGGTGTCCCAGCAAGCCAGTGACAAGCCCCATCTCAGCATACCAGGGGGAGATCCTGAGCCCCAGGGTGGTGCAGCAGGCAAGCGCCAACACCAGGACCCCCCCCCCCAAGTACCTCAGAACAGGCAGGGGAACCAGTAGACACCAGCTTGGAAAATCACTACGTACACTGGCATTCTCTAGGGGCCAAATCTCCTGGTGCCTGAGCACAACTCTGTGAAGCACAACTTGGAGGCAAAGCTCAGGCTGACAGACATTCTCCAGCAGCCAAACATTTGAGAACAAAGCCTGGGTGAGCAGGTGTCCCCCAGGGGCCAGACTCCCTACCCCTACCCTGAGAGCTCCAGTGTTGCTGACCCCAACCCAGTACCACGTAAGCTGCCAGAACCTTAGAGCCTCTGACTGCCAGCACTTGAAGCCCCAGCACACAAAGTCAGTAACAAGGTCCCAGGCTCCCACTACAAGAAAACTTGGGTCAGTAGCCCCTGCACTCCATCAGGAAAGCTCAACTTTTTTTTTTAAAGTCAGGAAATAGGCAAACACCATGAGCAAAAAGCAAAAACAGGTAATGACCACAGATTCTTATTATAGGTACAAGGAAGATCAAGGCACAAATTCAGAAGAGGACAACATTGTCAACATACCCACATCAGAAACCTCAAAGGGAATATAAACTGGTCTCAAGCCCAAAAAGCCTTCTTGAAAGAGCTCAAGAAGAATTTTAAAAGTCAAATAAGAGAGGCAGAAGAAAAGTTGGAAAAGAAATGAGGTACATATAACATTCACTAGCTGTGTGACTCTGGGCAAGTCACTTAACTTCAACTCCTCACCAAAAAAATTTTTTAAAAATGAGGTATGCAAGAGAGTCAATAGCTTAGAAAAAGAAGGACGAAAATTGACTGTAGTAAACAAGTCCTTAAAAAATACAATTGGCCGGACTTCTGCTTCCAGGAGCCAAGATGGTGAAGCGAAAAGGCAGTCGCTCTCACTCTCCCCTATCAACCTCTGAAAATCCAGAAAATATCACCCCAGAAAAAAAACCTGGAACAGCTGAACTAGAAGCAAAACGGGGAGCAGCAGTACAGCAACCCAGAAAATGGGTGTCCCACTGCCTCAGCAAAAATAAGGGAGGCAGAACTACAAGGGGCCCCAGGCAGACAAGTACCCTGTGGCATTCATCTGAAAGAAGGTGAAGAAAGCAACCTAAAGGCTTCCTAAAGCCCTGGCCTTGCTGGTTACAGCCCAACACCAGGTGAGCCATTGGAGCCCTGCAGCCTCCAATTGTGAAGAAATCCTGAAGCTCAAGTGGTAGAACATGCAAACACCCACACCTGGACCTCCGAGTGCTTCGGGAACCAGTGGAAACCAGCTCAGAAAACCACGATGTGCCTCAGCACTCTACCACAAAGGAATCTCCCAGTGCATTAGCAGAAAGAGGGAGACAACACTGCAGGGGTCCCCAGGCAAATAAACACCCTGTAGCACCCATCTAAAAGAAGCTGAAGAAAGCTAAAGGAAAGGAAAAGCAAGCAACCTAGAATTGCCTAAAAGTTCCAGCCTTGCTGATTCCAGCCCAACATGAGGTAAGCTGCCAGAAACCTACAGCCTCCAATTGCCAGCAGAAGAGGCCCCAGCACACAAAGCCAGTGACCAAGACCTAGGCTCCCAATACAAAAAGCTTCGGTCAGTGCCCTCTGTTCCCCAGCAGGAAGCTCAATCTATTTAAGGCCAGGGAATAAAGAAACACCATGAGTAAAAAGAATGCATAGATTCATATTATAGAGAGTGAAGATCAAGACAAATTCTGAAGAGGAAACATTGTCAACAAACCACATCTGCAACAACGAAAGGTATATGAACTGGTCTGAAGCCAAAAGCCTTCTTAGAAAGCTCAAGAAGGATTTTAATAGTCAATGATGAGAGAGGTAGAAGAGTCCTTCAAAAATAAATTGGCCAATTGGAAAAAAATATATACTGAAGAAAACAGTCCTAAAAACACAATTGGCCAATTGAGAAGGAAGTACAAAACTAACGGAAGAAAACAATTGTTAAAACTAGATTGGAAAATGGCAACTAAAGTCTATGATAGAGCAAGAATCAGTCAACAGAAATGAAAGATGAAAGAGAAGGTGCTGCAAAGAGCAGAAAGAAACAATTTAAATATCATGGAACACAGTCAGGATTACACAGGACTTGGCTTCTACATTAAAAGACCACAGGGTGTGGAACATGATATTCCATAAGGCAAAGGAGCTTGAAATGCAGCCAAGGATATTACCAGCAAAAATGAGCATCATTTTTCAAGGGAGGAGATGGATAGTCAACAAAACAGGAGACGTCCAAACTTTCCTGATAAAAAGACCAGAGCTCAACAAAAATTTGATCTTCAAGTACAGGACTCAAGAAGGACATAAAAAGGTAAATGAGATAGAAAGATACAATATGTTATTAATAAGGGGGGGGCTGTTTAAACCCTACAAGGGAATATGAATTGCAACCCTTGAGAACCTTGAGCCACATGAGGTAACTGCCAGAACCTATAGCCTCAATTGCAGCAAGAGGCCCGCAGCAAAGCAGTGACCAAGACTAGGCTCCAACACAAAAGCTTGGTCAGTACCCTCTGTTCCCCAGCAGGAGAGCTCAATCTCTTTAAAGGCCAAGGAATAAAGAAACACCATGAGTAAAAAGAAACATACCATAGATTCATATTATGAGAAGAGTGAAGATCAAGACAGAAATTCTGAAGAGGACAACATTGTTAACAAACCCACATCTGCAACAACAAAAGGGAATATGAACTGGTCTGAAGCCCAAAAAGCCTTCTTAGAAGAGCTCAAGAAGGATTTTAATAGTCAAATGAGAGAGGTAAAGAGTCCTTCAAAAATACAATTGGCCAATTGGAAAAAAATACACTGAAGAAAACAAGTCCCTAAAAAACACAATTGGCCAATTGAAGAAGGAAGTACAAAAACTAACAGAAGAGTACACTGAAGAAACAAGTCCCTAAAAAACATTGGCCAGTTGAAGAAGGAAGTACAAAAACTAACAGAAGAAAAAATCTGTTAAAAACTAGAATTGGACAAATGGAAACTAATGTCTCTATGAGAGAGCAAGAATCAGTCAAACAGAAACAAAAAAATGAAAAAATGATGAAAATACCTCATCAGTAAAACAACCGACCTGGAAAATCACTCAGGAGAGACAATTTAAAAATTATTGGACTACCTGAAAATCATGATGAAAAAAAGAGCCTGGACAGTATCTTTCAGGAAATCATAAAGGAAAACTGCCCGAAGTCCTAGAACCAGAAGGGAAAATAACCATAGAAAGAATCCACATCACCACCTGAAAGAGATCCCAAATTGACAATGCCAAGGAAATATAATAGCAAAATTCCAAAATTACCAGATGAAAGAGAAGGTGCTGCAAGCAGCCAGAAAGAAAAATTTAAATATCATGGAACCACAGTCAGGATTACACAGGACCTTGCAGCTTCTACATTAAAAGACCGCAGGGCATGGAACATGATATTCCATAAGGCAAAGGAGCTTGGAATGCAGCCAAGGATCAATTACCCAGCAAAAATGAGCATCATTTTTCAAGGGAGGAGGTGGATATTCAAGAAATAGGAGACTTCCAAACTTTCCTGATAAAAAGACCAGAGCTCAACAAAAAATTTGATCTTCAAGTACAGGACTCAAGAAGGACTTAAAAAGGTAAATGGGACAGAAGGATACAATATGTTGTTAATAAGGGGGGGGCTGTTTAAACCCCTACAAGGGAATATGAGACTTGCAACCCTTGAGAACTGTATTGTTATTACACCTTGTTAAAGGAGTATACATAAAGAGGGTGGATATTAGTTGACTTTGATGTAATGATAAAAAAAATCTAATCAAGTGGGTTAAATGG